CCCCCCCCCCCGGAAAATTACGGTTAATACCTCCGTAGCTCAGTACCGAATGAATACGAAAATTCATTTTTTACTAATTCATGAACGCCTACACAATTGTTTTTTATAACCAAAATCGGACATCCTTAACCGTTGAGTCATTTGCTTCATTTCACATTACGACAAAAGTCAGTGCAATAAATCATTTCCAAACACGACCAACATATGTACGTTGCAGTTTCCAATAATGCTGAATGACCTGAGTAAGATAACTGAATATGATCCAAATCTCTGACATCTCGTCCCCAGTCCGGAATCCATCAAGAAAACAACGCTCTACAGAAGTGAAAAGACACAGAAATTCCACCAAACGCTAACAAGTTTACTCTAACAATTCCACTACCAACTAACCTTACAACAAACATTTCGAAAAACAAAAACTAGATAGAAAAACTAGCTTATTAACGACGAATGTGACCCTTTCAAAATCGTTCTGTAATTATAGCTACCTTCGTCCTGTCTGATGTCCCAAGCTTTCATACGCATTTAAAAAGTCGGGGCCGTATTCCAGTAACCACGAAATAGGCGACGTTGAAGTAATCCCGGAAAAATTATAAGGGCTTTTTGAAGTGACGGGATAATAATTACTCTAAAAATAAAAGGAAATTCTGGAGAATAAGATGGAAATTAGGGAAAACTATAAAGAAATTATTTCAAATTCAACACTAAAATCGGTGGTATTAATTTTTGTTTCTGTTTTTACCAAAGATTTGCAAAACATCGTATTTCCAAAATTAATTGAATAGAAGTGCTATTTACCTACAATTGTCGTATATGCCAAATTTAAGACGGCACGTGCAGACGGAAGCAATTGAATTTGCTTTGATGAATTTTTAATGCAATCAATACAGGGTTTGGGCAGGTTTCCAATGGGACCGAAGTTGTGTTGCTCGCTGTCCTTTCGCGATGACAAATTTATATAAACCTTGTCGGCTCCATTGTGTAGGTACAGCAAACAACTTGCCAAACACTTTATTTATTAGGAACCGAAATACATTTATCTCGCCCGTAAACGTTTTCCTCGTGTAAATTAGTAATCGAACGCGTTTTAAATCCGGATTCGTTCACAAAAATCATGGCAAAGTTTAGAATATTTCAATAAAAGCGCTCGCGAAAGAAAATCTATATTTAGGCGCGCGAACCGTTTTATCGTAAAACAGAACGAAACTCAATTTTCGACCGCATCATCCGATTTTGCTTTTCGATTGTAACACCTCCACACTGTCTGTCTATATACCTCGCTTATTTATTGGTATATAGGCAAGGACTTTTTCCGAGCTCGGTGACATTGTACTCGATTGCGATGAGACGGTGCACGTGCAGGTATTGTCCTATCCTTCCTTAAAATGTTGTAGGTACAAATGGTTATCAAACCTTGCTTAGAGTAAAACACTTGTTTACCTTGTATCCGTAATATTTAAATCTGCAATAACAATAATAATTGATTACATGTAAAAAAATGTATTCTCGCATGCGAGATTTGCTGGTACATTTACACAATTAAAAAATGTGTGATGTAAAAAAACCAAAATAGAATTAGTCAGTGAGTTCACTTTTTCCAGTTCCAATATTTGCCTGAAATGTTTAAATAAATACACATCACACCGTAAGATAGCGGATGTAAAATAAATGTATGCTAATAAAACGGTCAGTATGCACATACTAAAATATTTACAAATAGTTAAAATATACATAGAAAAGAACATGGACACAACAACGGTACATATAGGCGTTTAAAATATACAGAATTGAAGTTTAAATGTATAATGTAGTCATAAACCTGTATAAGGAACATAAATTCAAATTACTCCTAAAGATACTACTAAATTAAAATAACTAGTAAGTATAGATAGACCTGGTACCTCGCGACCGACGAAAGCGCATTGTCCCGGCACAGAATCAGTAATAACTCGGGAAGGAAATGATCCAAAAAAATCTTTGTCGAACTGGTCTCAGGGCTGTGCGGCACGGTATAAGAAAGAAACCACAAGAAAAATATCTTAAACTGGGAGACTAGTAGCGATACAGACGAACAGACGGCAAAGTGTGGACAATATAGCGTTCGCAAAAGATTGTGAGTGAAACTGCGAATACAAATAGAAAAACGTATGTAATAGTGATGTCTTTATCGCCGATGCCTAATCTTACATGGTGCCTCGATGTCTATCGGAATTTCTGGAATATTCGCTATATAATCTAATTAACATCTTTAAGAATTTCGTATATACACAAGAGTAAATTTAGTTAACTTAGCGAGTCCTGAATAAATTTCACGGTAGGCGTGTCGCCATCTTTCTGACGTTTGACCGAAATCTGTGAATGGTACGTGCCTTTCCGGTTGCCAAGATACAGTCTGCTTATTGACTATTTAATTTGGTGGAATTAAACACATTATTATTATTGTACTTTCCTTCAGATTTTCTACGTACTTATTTAAGTTGGGGGATTATTTCCATCATAAAGATTATACGAACATTTCAAATCGATCGCTTGAGTACGGGTTGTTTTTGTTTAGCTACGTTATAGATTTTTTTTTATAGATTTGCTGATCTTTTTCCATCTAGTCTATACCTCGGTCTATACAATATTTTCCTAAAGTCCCGGGACGAAGTTATAAGTTTCAACGAGTGAACAAAAAATATGAACATTTGGGGATCAATAATGGTCAATAAAAAGTACTGTTTAGATGGTCTAAAACTTTCATACACTGGCGAGTTTTTTTTAGGAGATTTGAATCATTGTGTTAGCAGTAGCAGTTGACGTACTCGTATATCAATTGCTGGCACACGTGATGATTGTTCGTTTGGCCATCTACGTACAGTATTATTCCAGTTACGGAAAGAAGTTAGGGATTATTTCCATTGTAAATATTGTAAGAACATTTCAAATCGACCGCTAGAGTTCCGGCTGTTTTTGTTTAGCGACGTCATCAATTTTTTCCCATCGATTCACTGATCTTAAAGCTTGGGGATCCATAAAGAAGTATAAAAACGTTGATTGAGGTCACTAAATCTTCCAAAATGTTTTAGGTCAATAGTGAGATTTTCTTGATTGCAGAAGCCGGAAGTGTACGAGAAGAAATGATTTGTTTGAACTAACTGCTGCATACAGAAATATTTTTGCTGAATAAAAATGTTCATGTAGGAACTCGATTCTTTTCGCATTTAAAAACCGTTCTATTAAAAACTCTTAAAAGCGCCTAAATGTTGTAAAAGACCGAAAGTGCGTATAAAGCCATCTTAAATCCAGAGACTCCCATGCTAGTTATAGAGCATTCGAGAGCCTTCTGTTTTTTCCAGAATTAGGCAAGCCCAGAAAGCTCTAGTGAGGTCTATAACTCTTTGAAAAAGCCTCACAAGATTCAATGGCTCAATTGCTATGAAACTAAGGCTTTCTGGAGTCTCCTACCCTTCCGGGGAATTGTATGTGCTTTTGCGAATATCCTTTATAGAGCTTTAGACAACATTATGGGTACTTTCCTAAGATAGATGAGTGCAGAAATTTCTGAAAAGGACTCTCTGGAATTTTGGTGGACGCGGCCTTAAACTGTCACAGATTAGTAGAAACATCTAAAAAGTGTC